GTTTTTTTTTTTTTTTTTTTTTTCCCCCCGAAGTTCAGGGCTCCAGGTCTGAGGAGCTGGAAATGCTTTGACAAAGGCCTTGGAGAAAATGGCCTGTCTCAGAGGGCCAAGGCAGGGACGTTCGCGGAAACCAGGCATATTCCGGGAGGAGAGGGAACTTTGGCCAAAAGCCCCTGCTCGCCTCCATCCCCCAAGCAAACCTGGGCCCCGTGCGGTGATGCCGTAGGTCTGAAGCGGTCTATTAGCTGAGCTCAGGGCTCGGCTCTGGAGTCCTGTGTGAGCCCAGCTCAGCCCGTCCAGCCACTCTCTTCCCTAGTCTGCTTGTCTCCCTGTGGGACGTGCGTGCCGTCAGGCAAACAACTGGCAAAGCCTGGGTGAAGGGACAGCTGGCAGGGTTTGGGAGGAGGATGCCGGTGCCAGGGGAGAGAGAGAGAGAGAAAAGGGGGAGTGGGGGGCCAGGACTGAGCTGGGGGCCGAAGGGGAGAGGGGACACACGGCGAATGTCCTGTGGCAGGGAGAGGTGGGCATGGGGATCACCCGCTGCTCCTCTGGGTTTCCGAGAGTATCCTTCCACGCAAGCGGGAGACAGGGCCAGGCCAGGGCAGGGGTTAATGGTGAACCAACTGTGGGAGCAGCAGCCTGTGCACTGCTGGGGCCTTTTCTTTCCTCTATCCCCCGTCCCTTCCTCCTCTCCCTTTACACTTGCCCTGTAGGGACACTGCTCCCCAACAAAGAACTTCCTCGCCTCTATTTCTGCCCTTGAATCCCAGATGGAACAGTAGAGGTTCCATATGCCCAAAGGCCAGGAACAGGGCCCCGGAGAGCCTGAGGGCTAAGGCAGGGAGAAAGGGGGTGTCCTGTTCTTACCATCCATCCCTCCTGGCCCTTAGGACCAGCTGTTTGACACACACCCCCCCGCCCCCCTCCCGGGGAAGAACTGCCTTTCTCTGTCTCCACAGGGCTCACCTTTAGAAATGACCAGACAAGAAGGGGACACACCCCCAGCCCTCATTTACTCTAATCAGGCATGAAATCTTTGTAACTAAGTGAAAAACACTGTTTCCCATAAGGGAATCAGTTCCATTCACTATTGTTGGAACAGAGCATCTGTGAAGGGGAGAAATATTCACTTATAATGAATTGATAACAGACTGGCCCTGGGTGAGGGTGGCAGTGCTGGGGGGAGGGGTGTGTGCACAAGCTGTAAAACTACAGCACCTCAAAGCCTGCTTCTGCCACTTTCCCTGTGGACAATCCTGACTTATCCATAGTTAACAGACTGTAGTAACACAATGCTCCGGTCTCTTTATGATGAGAACGGGAGTGGGGTGGGGGCTTGGCTTGGAGTTCCTCGCCTCTCGCTGTGCCATGATGGACAGAGTATACCGGGCCCCAGTCTGCGTGTGTGGAGACAGCTGTGTGGCAATGCAGGGAGACAGCTGAGGGGGGGTCGCTGCTGGAGATGGAAATCGTCTGCCCCCTGGCCCCTCCCGCACCAAACCCCTTATCTTGGAGAGGCAGCCATAGCAAAGGAGGCGGGATAGAGACTATAAAACCCCCGAACAGTGACAACTCCAGAGCCATAAATATTTCATGGTACCTGAACTAGTGAGTTTAGGCTGCTGCCAGCTGCTGCTTTGTGTATTTAACTCTGTCACTGGTTTCCCATCCTGCTTGTGTGTTTCCTTTGTAACATGCCCATGAAATAAAGATGAACAAAATCACCAGAAGTATTTGGAAATGGGAAAGGGGCCTGGTAGATAAGTAGCTGTTCTTCGAAGGGTTTCTCTTTAACTTCACGTTAAGCACAGACTCCACTACAACAGACGGTGAACTTTTACATCCATCACACCTGCAGCTTTTGATGGTCAAAAGGTTGGAGAGGGAATGTTCCCTGGTGCTTTGGGGACAGGGGTAGGTATTCAGGGCAGCTGTGAAAGCAGGGCCACCAACCTTGTAATGACATGGTTGCTTTGGGGTGATGGACATGGGACACCACCATTTACTCATTTAGACTGGGGCTGAGAGGCCAACCAGCTCCCCTCTGGCCTGCTCCAGGCTATGAGGGACCCCGGTCCTGGTCCTTACATCCTGTCAAAGAGAAGGGCCAAGTGGAAACCCCTTGGCAGACTCGTGGTCCTGGGCAGAGGGGACCTGCCTGCGCTCCACCGCCTCGCACCCTACTGCTCTTCAGCAGCATACCCACTGCACAGCGCTCCAAACGTCACTTCCATTTAACTGCTTTGCAAGCCAATTTGCCCCATCCTAATGCAATTTGTTGAGGATGGTGAGGGAGCGGAGAGGGCAGTCTGCACTGCGCTTCCTTTATCAGCGGGTCCCTGAAAAGGGTTGGCTAGAGGGCTGAGGGGAACCACTCTTTCAGGTAATGCTGGCAGTGCGGGCAGGTTCCGAGATGAGGAAGGGTTGGGCGTAAGTGGAGATGCCAGGTGGAAGAAGGGAAAAGCAAAACAACCTCGCTAGGGTATCTTGACAGATTGCTCTCAGTTTCCCTGGTTCCCTACCTTCCCACCTGACCCCCCACCCCCACCCCCAGGCCAAGGAGGGGAGATCATAGGTAATTAGTTCAAAAGCTGCTAGATGAGGGGAGGGGGAAATTAATGAATTCTTCTCTCTTCTTGCCAGGAGGTCAGAGGAGAGAGGGCTGCTAGCAGCTCCTGGAGTGTTCTGGGGTGTCTGCACAAAAGTTGTGCATTTCAGTTAGGAATAGCTGAATTCCTCCAGCCAGGGCTATCTCTTCCCCGGGCTTTGACGCTCTGTTGAAGGCCCCAGAATCCAAAACCTGCCCAGAGGGAAGAGTGAAGTTTCAAGGTCTGGGAAAGAAGCCCAGAAAGACAGGGGCCTGCTATTGTGTGGGGACTGGTGTGCGGGGGAACTGAATCTGACTCCCAGCTCCCAGGACGTCCAGCCCTGCCCAGCCCAGATACTCATCTTGATCTGATGCTCATGAACCCCGTCCACTGTGCTCATGGATAGGGGACGAATGGCTCCCCAAATTTCTGTAGTTTCCTCCAAGCTACTGGGTCCCCAAGCTACTGCCTCAAGCAGGTCCTGTCTTATGTCCCTTGTATAGCCACTACTAGGATTGCCACTGTTACCCTAGGATCTTAGAACCCTACAGGAGACCTGATCATATTTCCATTGCCCACTTCATGGGGCTCTCATTTCTAGAGACAACTGACTTTGAACCCCAAGTCTTTTACTTCCACCTCCCCCAATATCTCTATCCCTCCGAGCTCAGTTTGAGTAGGTAGCTCCTTCTAGGGCAAAGGTCATGCCAAACAGGTGGACATTCGTCAGGGACCTGGGATGGCAGTTTCTGGATGACTTTCTCTCTTTGGCCATCAAGACCATGATTAGCATATTTACAGAGACTACCTATGGGATGGATAAAAAGGGCCAGAATTTTCTAAGATCCCTACATCACTTGTGGGTTGGGGCAAGAAGTCCAAGAAAGAAAATATTCTAAAATGGCTTATAAGGAGCCTCTCGGACCCTGGATAAACTCATCCTTCAACACCCAACCGTCTCCTGAGGCTCAGACCAGGGGATCGTGCTTATGGGTGCTTCACCACGAGGGCGCACGGAAGGGGCCATGGGGCACTAATCCCATTCGGTGCCTTGGTGTCGTTCCCTGAGCCTCTGGAAGCCGCGCATATGAGGCATTCCCCTTTGATTCCCAAGTCCCCTGCTCCGAAGGAACAGCCAGCGGCCTCCAGGGATTCTGGCACCAGAGTGAACGTCCCCAAATTGAGCGCCGGCCACAGTGGCCCAGACCCTCCTACGGGTGCAGTGCCTCGGAGGCCCGCTTTGGGCTGCAGCTCTCGGGACAGTCCCGCTGCTCCCGCGCTCCCCGAGCCTCAGCTTGCAGGCAGGTGCGCGGTGGAAGCGCGCCTTGGAGCGCCGCCCGTCAGCAGCCCAGCGGGGAAGCGGGGCGCCGGCGGGGAAGCCTGGGCTGGAGGCGGCGGCAGGGAGTCAGCCGGCACACGCGCGCGCGCCGCGCTCCGGCCCGCGAAAGTGGCCGACCCCGTGCGGGGACTCGCCGGCCGCAGCCGAGCCCAGGCGTTCGGGGCCGGGACGCCGCGGAGGAGGGCGCGGGGGGAGCCGCGGCGGGGCGAGCGCGCTTCGGGGGACAGCGCGGAGGGCGCCGCTTACCCAGCTCGGAGACGTCGGTCTGCCCTTCCGTCCCCGATCCGGCCGCTTCGGCCGCCGGCTGCAGAGGCCGGCGCGCTGCCCCTTTCGCTGCCAGCAGCTCGCGATCACGGGGACGACCAAATCCACACGGAGTCCAGATTCATTAAAATCCACGTCAAGCCCCCAGCCACTTATCTGTATTCCTGAAGTGGCCCCTCGGTCTCCTGTCCGCGCGCCGCTCCGTCCTCCGCCGCCCGGTAACAGCCCTGCCGGGATCTGACGCCGGCTCGCTGGGGGAACCGGGAGGCGCCGAGGGGGCGTGGGGTGGGTGGCTGGCGGTGTCTCTCCTTGGGAAGCGGCAGAGCCCCGGCTGTCTTCAGATTTTTCCAGCGCGACTTTCCGGGCTCCTCTGACATCAGCAATCGCGGCGCTTCCTTCCCTTCTTGCTCCCGGGTTCATTCACACTCCCATTTCCTCCGGGAACCTGGCTCTCCAGATCTATTTAGAGGTTCGCTTCTCTCGCTCCGGCGCCCGCGCTCCACACCGCTCCCGAGCTCGCGGGGTCTCTCTCTGGATCGCCTGCCCTCTAGGCTGAAAAATTCCGAGCAACTGCGCTCAGCCGCCCTCCCGCTCCAGTCTGGCGCTGACGCTCCGCCCGGCAGCTCCGGCTCCCGCGGTGGTGGCGGCGGCGGAGCCCTGAGAGCCGGCCTCCCTATATTACCAGGCAGCTCATTATCATAGAGGCCGCGCGCGTTAACCCTCTCCCTGCCGGCCGCGCCCGCCCGGGCTGGGGCCGCGCCCGCCACTGGCACAGCGCGCCGCAGCCAGCCCCCTGCCCCCTCCCCCTCCCGCCCGGTCTTCCTCCTCCGCCAGCTGTCAACAAAGGAGAATCAGGTTGGGCGTCGGGAGGCCGCCCCGCTTCCTCCCTGTGCGCGGCTCAGCCCGGACCCACCCGCCGCCTTAAGTGGCGAAGGGGGCAACGCAAATCCTGCTGGGGCCTGGGGATTTGGGTGGAGGTCTGGAGCGCCCAGCCGGCTGAACCCCCGGTGCGGGGAGCTCAGGACGCCGGCAGAGTGGGAGAGGTCAGTGGGGACGTGGGCTCCCCCTCCCTGAGCATCACCTGTCACCGCGCACATCCTGCACATCTCTCTCTTCGTCTTTAATCTGAGGGGTGAGTCGGGAGGAACCGGCCTTGGCTGATGAGGTTAAGAAGGGGCTCTCAGAATTTGCCCAAGCAAATTTCCTCTGCTTGTGAATCTCAAAAAGCCAACAAGCTGTCAAATGAGGTTTGAAGTTGTTGTTATTAATTATAATTTTTATAATGCGAAGATGAGCCTTGCTCTGAGTCGCAAGCTTCCAGCTCTGTTACGGATCCTGGGCACCTGGCAAGCGGGGGAGGCGGGGACCAGTGGGGAGCTTTCTATATCCAGACCTAGGGGGCCTATCTGGCAGGGGAATCAGAGAGGCGGCGGTAAAAAATCTTATTTTAATGGCCTAAGGTGAGAGGTGCCTGGATTCTGGATGCAAATGCCTCGGTGTCTTTATGACCAGTGCTTCCATGTCCTATAGAATCTCAGTATCCCCGTAGACTCTGGACGCGGCTTTGAGAAACAGGCCTGCAAGCTAGATCCCAGCGAGTTTGCAGGATCTGCGCAGTCCCTGCTCCCGATTAGAGCACAGGCGAGTTTACCCAAAACGTCCAAGTATTCTGATGAGCTCCCTCTACTGCCCTCTCGTGGCCACAGTCCTCAGTGGTATAAATAGAAAGAGAAAAAAAAACACTCCGGAAACCCTAAAGGGAGTCGCAGGGAATTCTCAGAGCAGCAGTGGCCTTAAAAAAAAAAAGGAAAATAAATGTAGACTCACCGGTTGTCTTGCACAATCACCCATTCATTACAGTATTGGGGGGAAATGTGAGATTTACTTCAGTCACAGAAGTTAGCTAATTCTTCAAAAGTTCCTTCCTCATTGTTAATTAGCTGACATTTGTCTTACTGTGACTTTCACTGGTTATTCCTTGTTGTGCCCTGTGCAGCCAAAAAGAATCTAAGCTGTCTCTCCTGATCCATACCTACTCTTTTCTTTGAAGTTCTTTCGCATTTATCGTTGGCACCCCTCCAGGCAATTATCAAAATTTACCCTATATTATTATTTATTTCTCTTTATAAGTTGATCTTGTCTCTTCATCCAGACAGTCTTGTCTACCATCCTATCTTTGGTTAAACCGAATACAAACCACAATTTATTAAGGAGTATAATTTGAAGAAGATGCTAGAAGATTTTGGAACATTTCTCTTATTTGTTTGATACATGGAGCATTGATCTGGTCAGCTCCACCCAGGACAGGCAGTGGTAGGGTTGGAAATACCTAACCGATAAAGCTTGAAGCTGAAAATTAGGACCTTCTGGTTCTCAATCAAGTGCTGCGTGACCCTGGAAGAGGTTACATCTCTTCCCTTTGCCACAATTTTATCATATCTTGGGACTGTTTTAATACAGTTTAAGTAATTTTCTAATACTACCCCCCTACATGTGGTCCGGAAACCAACCCTAGAACGAAGAGCAAGGAAGGTAAAATTAAACAGACTCCTCTACTCACCACATCCTTCAACCCAGCCTCCCTTCCCCTTTTCAGATAAATAGTGAAGAGAAAGAGAGGGAAGGAGAGAGAGAGAAGACAGGTAGGAGAACATGTTGCAGGCAGCATGGCACAATGTCACCCAGTTTGTACATTGCCACTGAACTCAGGCCTGGGGTCTGAGTCCTGTGAGATTATGGGGGTTCCTGCGGTCAGCATGACAATGTCAAGAACACTACCAGGTCTCCTGGGAGGCACCCTGTTAAGTACCCTTAACATCTCTGGGCCTCGGTTTGTCCATCTTCAAAATGGGGATTTCTACCTTCAATCTTCAGAGAGTTGTGGTAGTTAAAATAGAAATATGTAGAAATGTTAGAAGAATTAATAGTATCATTAAAATGGAAAGATTTGTTCATATTTTTAGTCCTAATAGGCTAAAACAAATATGGATCTTATTAGTCACGCACATAATTATAACAATATATCTTGGGAATAAAAAACGAACAACTCAGTTTCATGGTGTGTATTTAGATATAACATCCTCTGAGGCAATGGCAATATACATGAGCCTTTGATCTTCAAAGGTGCTCTAATAACCACGTCTTTTTGATCACTGGGTATCCATTCATTCATTCATTCCACAAACATTATTTATTAAGAGCAACTTTATTCGATTTTTAAAAAATGGAATTGTACATGTACATAGTATATGATTATCTCTTCCACACATATTTTTAGAGAAATTATGCTAATAATCATGCTAATAGGCTCTATGCCCTCAGACCTGTCTATGTCTTTCTGGGACCTGAGTTTTCTGGTATCTATCTGGTCTTTGATGTCTTTTTTCGCATCCTGTCCAGCTGATAGCAAACTCATGGCCCCTGGGGACTCATCAAGACTCTGCCAGTGCCTTGAAGTTCATCCTCATTTCCATCAGGGGGAATGGTCACAGCCCAGCACCGTTCTGCACACGTGGTGGGTGTTTAATCAGTGTTTATCAAATGGATGGATGGATGGATGGATGGATGGGGAGATGTTTGTCTTATGCCAAATCCTCATCTTTGGAAAACTGTAGCAAGCTCAACAGGTATCTCGTCCATCCCAACCCACCCACCCTGGAACCTCACCCATGCAAAGTCATCTGTGGCTGCTCCATTGTTATCCTGAGCCCCAGGCCCCCTCTTTGCTTGTAACTAGATGGGTAACTTGGGGAAGAGGATAAGAAAAGCAGGAGAGAACAGGGCAACTGCACACTCTGGAATGGAGCTGAATTTTTCCTGGGAGAAATAAGTATTTCTCCTGCAGAGGCAGGTCTGGCTGAGCAGGCATCCTCAGGCCTTTAAAGGAAGCCTGAGACTCTGGGGAGAATAGGCCCAAATGGGCACCCAGCCGACCCCCAGGGGAAGTCCTCTCTCTGTCACAGCAGCAGCTCCAGCTCCACAAATAGATGCCAGTACAGTAGCTCCTCGGATCACGGTAGGTATTTTTGGTGCTGGAAGGCAGCCACACTTTGTCAGGCTTTCAGCATTAATTCTGCTCCCTTTCAGAGGTTGGGAGGGTGGCAAGCCAGCAGTGTTTAGCATGGGGATGCTGCCTGCGAGAGTGTGCCCGAGCATACATTTAGGGTGCCTTGAGTGGCATGGGGGCTGGGCTGGGGGCTGTGTGCCTGGAGCTGTGGGCAGGAGGCCAGCGTCAGTGGGTGATCTTTGGGTGGTGTGCGGTTGTTACCAGCCTTGCATCTAGCTCCCAAAGCTGAGACCACTGATCTACTTCTGCTCTCAGAGGCATGTCCTCTTTCATTTGCCCTGACCCCTAGCCTTCCACATTTCAAGGCAGGGACGCGTTCCCCCGTGGGTGAGCCCTTCCGTCTCTCATCTCCTGACTCACCTTTACCCAGCAGATGCGACCAGGCAGGCACAGTGTAGAAACAGCAGCCTCCTTCTCCCACCCACATGGTGGGAAACAAAGGGATTGGTCTGACGGGCCAGCCCTGAGTGTGTGGGCCAAGCCCCATGAAAGGAGGGAGGGGTGATTGGGTTGCCAGAGGGCGGGCCTCTGGCTGGGCAGTGGGGACAGCGGTCCAGGACACAGCCGCAGGGCACCTGCTCCAGGATTCTCAGCCTCATACATACAGATGTCACCCTCATCTCTCCTCCCCTCTCATCCCTTCACAAAGCCCACGTTCCCGTGTACTGTAAACAGTACAAGCCTGTTAAGTAGCAAACTGAACAAACTTTTTGTAGCAAACTTGCTACAAACAGTAGCAAGCCTGTTAAGGCTCCAAATCAAACAAGGTGTGATTTCACTCCTTTCTCACTACCTCCCACA